TCATCTGAGTTATCGCCACAGTCATCGGTACGATCGCATTTCCAACCTGTTGGTATGCATTTACCGTTATCACATTGGAACTGTCCAGATGAGCATGTTGGAGGAGCGCAGTGGACCTCATCTGAGTTGTCTCCACAGTCATCGGTACGGTCGCATTTCCAACGGGTTGGTATACATTTACCATTTTCGCATGGGAATTGTCCAGATGAGCATGTTGGTGGAGCGCAGTCGACCTCATCTGAATTATCGCCACAGTCGTCGGTACGGTCGCATTTCCAACCTGTTGGTATACAGTTACCATTATTGCATTGAAATTGTTCAGATGAGCATGTTGGAGGAGCGCAGTCGACCTCATCTGAGTTATCGCCACAGTCATCGGTACGGTCGCATTTCCAACGGGTTGGTATACATTTACCATTTTCGCATTGGAATTGTCCAGATGAGCATGTTGGAGGAACGCAGTCGACCTCATCTGAGTTATCACCACAGTCATCGGTACCATCGCATTTCCAACCTGTTGGTATACAGTTACCATTATCACATTGGAACTGTCCATATGAGCATGTTGGAGCAGCACAGTCGACCTCATCTGAGTTGTCTCCACAGTCATCGGTACGGTCGCATTTCCAACGGGTTGGTATACATTTACCATTTTCGCATTGGAATTGTCCAGATGAGCATGTTGGTGGAGCGCAGTCGACCTCATCTGAATTATCGCCACAGTCATCGGTACGGTCGCATTTCCAACCTGTTGTTATACAGTTACCATTATTGCATTGGAATTGATCAGATGAGCATGTTGGAGGAGCGCAGTCGACCTCATCTGAATTATCGCCACAGTCATCGGTACCACCGCATTTCCAACCTACTGGTATACAGTTACCATTATTGCATTGAAATTGTTCAGATGAGCATGTTGGAGCAGCACAGTCGACCTCATCTGAGTTATCGCCACAGTCGTCGGTACGATCGCATTTCCAACCTGTTGGTATGCATTTACCATTATTGCATTGAAATTGTTCAGATGAGCATGTTGGAGCTGCGCAGTCGACTTCATCTGAGTTATCGCCACAATCATCGGTACGATCGCATTTCCAACCTGTTGGTATGCATTTACCATTATCACATTGGAACTGTCCAGATGAGCATGTTGGAGCAGCACAGTCGACCTCATCTGAGTTGTC